ATTACCCATTCAAGCCGTCTCCAGCCATTATTAAAACAGATGTATATTCTACAGACCAAACCAGATTCTTTAAAATATATGGTGGTAGTTTTCCTATCTAAAACAGTGTTAATAACTTCCTGTATAGTAACACCATAAAAACTATATTAACAGTTTCTTGTCATCAGGCACTTTAATTAGGAGGATTTCATAAAATTTAGCAAATTTGTGCTTAAAAATTAGCAATGAATAATAACTGTCCACCCATATGACTCTTTTGAAAACTTGAGCTAGAAACTACTAACCTAGTTTGTTTGGCTCAACCAATACTTATGTATTGGCATGTTCTTTCACCCTATAGTTTTGCTGCTCTAAATCAGCCATCTGTAATCTAAATAAAAAAAATCTACAAGCTTTCCTCTTTTACTCTGCTGTAGTAAAAATTGTAGATGAATAGCAAACATTTTGTTCATAAATGAATGGTTTTTGTTGAATAACTTTGCACATGTGGCTTATATTTAGACCAAATCTAACATGTAATTAGAGGTCGTAAAGATCTATCAATGTACCAAATAAAAACAAAATCCATGAAGGTTAAATTTTTGATACAAGGGGAAAAAAGGATGAACTTAAGTGAAAATTAAAAATTTGGTATGTAAAATAAGGGTACAGTAGAGTACATTCACTGAAAATACATGACAGTTAGGATTACTGAAGTCTGAGCTACACAAAGTGTAAAATTGTTAAAATATCACTCCTGTTAATAACACATAGTGCATCCTGCAGATTGTTTTGGCTGCATAACACATTACCGTGTGCCTCAATATCAAGATCCCTATTAACACTGTTTCAAAATTATCCTTATGCACATATCAAATTGCCCTAATACATAAGAATTAAGATTTATCAGCATCTTATACCTAAAAATATCAAGCACAACCTTAAAAAATTTAAGCATTTAGTAGGATAATATGTAGAAATTTAAAACAAATATATTATGAAAACCTATAATTTCAACGTTGACTATTGATCGAACCAGCAACTTTCATCTGAAACACTACTGCATCCGTTTCAGATTGTTAAGTCACAAATATACATTTTCAAATCACAAATATATTCCTGTTGTTATGTGTGTGTGTGTGTGTCTTTTTTTTACTGGCTGATCCCCGCCCTTCAAAATATTCTATATCCACACCTGACTGTGTTTAAAACTTGAAATTGATTTATATTTCTAATTTGTCTTCTGTAAAAACTTATCAGGTTAGTTTTCGTTAATAATTATTGCCATTTCCTGAAATAATATTAGAATGATAATAGCTTGGTAGATCCAAGGCCTGAATGGCACTTTATTTGCTTGTATTATGAATTAGCGTGGCCTCGTAGTCGCAGACCCTTAATCCAACCATGTTAATACTAAGTAATAGATTTATTTCTGTACAATGTATGACATGATCACGTACAACATTTGAAAATGAACAAGTATCAAAGCATTACTTACGTTTTAGTTTCATTCATAACTTCAAAAAGTTCGTTATTTTCACATACTTCTTTACACTATAGTCCAAAATTAAATCAAATACTTATTATTATAACGTTTACTTCTTGTTTCACGCCAGGAAATACACGCTATATTCTCTCCACCATGGGTTTCGAAACATTACAGTGACGTAATCAAAGAGTAATATGTAGACTCTTGTTCCCAAGAAAATGTATCTGTAATATCATGCCCTCTTATCATTGAACCTGGTCAAAGCATCAATTTGGAGGTAAAAAATACTTATTATATTCATTCGACTGTTTTGCTCAACTTTTAAGAACCAATTGTAAACATTAATGGCCAGTCGCGACCCAGTAAATAGCTTTAGTGTAAAAATAAAACTGAAAAACATTTGGGTTACTAAATGAATAAATAAACTATTATCTAAATATTAATTAATAATGGAAATAAACGACCTTATAACAAAAAAATTGTTATTTTTTTAATTAGACACTAAGCGTTTATTAGAGCTTCTTCAGGAGCGTTTCACAAACGCGTTGTACTGTGATTTACGGTTTTTGTTTAAGTTTTTTGAGTAGGTCTTTAGTTTCATCGACTAAATTTGAAAAGTACTGAGCTTCTCTTACTTCTCCTTTTATTTCATCCAAAATTATATCACTGAGGATATCCAAAATGTCATCTTGTACACTGTGGTGCGTATATTTGGCAGTTTTAGGTCCTTCACACAGTTGTTCATTTAGGATCTGGAAATAAGTCTTTAAGAAGTTTAATATTTCCAAAAAGTTTCAGGATACATCAACAGGCTCTCTGCTTTCCTCTGTTATCTGTACAATTTTCATGCAAGAATTAGAGAATACTGCATTTGTGCAAAACTTCACACTGGTGGTCGTATGTAGATGACATCTTTGTAATCTGGGGCAATGATTAAACAGAATTTAATGTTCTTCTGAACTATCTTAATGAACAGTATTCCTCCACTTAGGTTACGTAGAAGTAGTTATAGAAAGTACCTTTACTTGACACTCTAGTCTTTAAAAATGACGAAAGTTTCTCCGCTAAAACTTACAGAAAACCAATGCTCAGCTGTTCCTCAATGCCGACTTCAAATATCTACACCATGTATTCCAAAACAAAATGGTTACTCCTCCTACATAATACAACAAAACATCACCACTACCGAAGCAGACAACAAAACAAGTTTACATACATACTCACACACACACACACACAAAAAAAAAAAGGGAAAAGAAAAAACTGAAAGGCTAACTACGAATATTCAAACTGTAACGTATCTTTTCGTTAATTCCGGTATAAATTCTTCCCGAGGAACTTCAGCGATACAAGAACTTTCTTAATTAAAACTAGTTTATTCTTTCTCGATACAACTTTGTAATACACAGAATTTCCACAGTCAATACGCTTCTCGTCTCTTTACTTAACAACTTTTATAATACACGCTATAAATCACAGCGATTCACAAGCTCGTCAACTTTGCTCTATGCAACCACAAGACACACAATTTACCGTTCACATGGTTACTGTTCGCTTGACTTAATTATCTCTCTATCTATTTATCTCGCTGGCTTTGCCAGGCTTATATACTAAAAAAAAAAAGAGGGCGTCTAGCAAACACTCAGACATTCGCGGGGCTCCCCGATAATTCGAGCCACCCAGAGCGCATGCTCCCAGCGTCACGCGATTTCCGCTGTCGTAACACTGCCCCTTCCTTAGTATTCTTCGTCCCGAACAATAGCCATTTACATTAACTTAACTAAATGTACAAAATTTAAAAACACAAAATTAAAATACAAC